CCTCTCCCTCACTTCAAACCCCTTCACTCCAGACTGGAGCCCTCTCCTGTACCCCCAAGCCCCTCATCCACGGTCCCACCTCAAAGCCCTCACTCCTCGGACCCAACCTCGGTTTTAGACCACAGCCCCCTTCTATATTCTGAACCCTTCATTTTTGGCTTCATTCTGGAGCCTCAGGGGTTCCACAATTTCTAAGAGCCCTGCACCCTCACTTCAAACCCCTTCACTCCAGACTGGAGCCCTCTCCTGTACCCCCAAGCCCCTCATCCACGGTCCCACCTCAAAGCCCTCACTCCTCGGACCCAACCTCGGTTTTAGACCACAGCCCCCTTCTATATTCTGAACCCTTCATTTTTGGCTTCATTCTGGAGCCTCAGGGGTTCCACAATTTCTAAGAGCCCTGCACCCCCGGAAGAGTTAATCCAGCCCTGGTTCCAATGGTTAGAGTTGTCAAGCCAATATTGTTTCCAGATATGTTAATTTTTTACTTATTTAATAACAAGGGATTAACTGCTTAGAACATTAAATTTATTTAAAAAACTGGTTTAATTCTTGAACATGACCAAAAATAATTTAAAAATTCAAAATACACTTGTTGAACTTTTAGGGTTTCAAGAAATTAATTGCCAGATAATTCAGTCCACTGAGTCCCAAAATCAAAGTATGGCAACATAGAAATTGAGTGAAAAGTCCAATGCAAACTAGAAACATAATGAAAGTTGAATGTGTACCTATTTATAATGTTGTAAAAGCAGTTCATAATTTACATTTAAATTTGAACACTTTAAGTTCCTTTGTTCTAATAAATGATATCTTATCATAAGAACTCTGCTTTATAACCCCACGCTATTACAACAAATGTTTAACTTACTCTGAATTCAATCTCTGTCTAGAATATAATACGATCCAACAGTGGCTGTATTGGAGTGACAGTGCCATCAGTCTTAATATAATATTATCAGAAGATTTTTCATAATTCAGCTCTTCCAAAGTCTACCACAAAATTAATGCAAAAAAAGTAAAAAAAATTTGAATATATTTACAAAGCTGCTGTAAGATTCAAAATGCTCATCACTGTAATGTACACTTACAGTTGAGAAGCAGCCTTATTACGTGGATAAAGGACTGGAAACCAGGAGATCTAGATTCTATTTCTGACTTTCATTCTAGGTGGATTCCATTCTATGAGGCTTGGTGAAGTCATTTGACTTCATCATGCCTCAATTTCCCCTTTTGTAAAATGAGGATATTTATGTACTATACAGATTTGCTTTTAGGCTTCCTGAGAGCTATAAAAATATAAATTATTATTATTAATTATTAGTAGTATTATTAATCCTTAACTTAACCTATAATTGTTCTATGGATGTATTGGATTTATAAAATACAATATGATTAAATACTACATTGTAGGAGGGAGTAGATGTGTTCTGTTTTCAATATTAATACATGATTTTTTACTCAATTTATCTTGAAATATCAGTTTTTCTAGCTGTAGAGTTTCCATCCTACACTGAATAGCTAAACAGGAAGTTTAATATCAAAGTGCTTATGTTCATGTTCTTTTCTTCAAACCTCTACATAAGTATGTATAGTTTGCTGACATGAATAGAATTAACATGCATATCAATGAGAGGATATAGTCATTTATAACTGGAATTGTGCATTACATATTTTCAATTATACAACCCCTTTTGCAAGTGTGGGGGCTTTAATAATAACTATTCAATATTATCAAAAACACTTCAGGGATTTTAGAACAGAACTAACGACAGAGATAATATAGATCAACTTTGCAGGTATTTTGTTACCAAGCATAAGTGTGCAATCTGCAAATGCCTCAATGATGCAAAAAGAATTATGGATTAATTCAACTTCGGAATAACTTCTGGGGTAAGAAGCTATTAGAATTTGAAACTATAATCTTAAGGAGGGAGTTAAGAGGAACAACAAAATATAGCTAGAGATCTGGAGAAACTGGCTTACAAGGAAAGATTAAGAGATGTAACTGAGTATAGAATTTGACCAAGTTGGTCTAATTTTGTACCTCCAAAATTATGGCAGTCTGTTCATCTATTGTTATCACAACATATCGATCTGTACCTCCAAAAAGCTGTAATGATTCACTGCAACTTCTCTCAACAAAAGTAACATTGTACCTACAGAATTCAAACTTTTAGTGAGTTTCATTTAAGTGAAATGATGAACTATTCCGAAAAGAAGAGGAATGTTGTTGTGAAGTCCTTTTATTCAATACTTCAACTCCAATTATAGGGATTTTTAATTTTGGGATCGCTCCTGAATCCCCAGCTATACTTCAATTAAGTCATATATATTCAAAGGTTAAAAATCAAGATGGTGAGACTTAAATATTTCAATATTTATTCTGTAAGGTTTAATTCCACAGTCATTTAATATTACTTTTATGTACTGCCATAAACTGTGTAGGAGGCTGCAGTTCTATGAAGCAACATTATGTAATCCTGCGATTGATATTTATAAGTCAGCAAAACATGCTGATGTTGACATCTGGGCTACGTCTACACTGGCCCCTTCTTCGGAAGGGGCATGCTAATTTTGAAAGTGGGAATAGGGAAATCCGCGGGGGATTTTAATATCCCCCGCGGGATTTAAATAAACATGTCCGCCGCTTTTTTTCCGGCTTGGGGAAAAGCCGGAGAAAAGCGTCTAGACTGGCCCGATCCTCCGGAATAAAGCCCTATTCCGGAGGATCTCTTATTCCTACTTCAAATGCTATTTTACAATCAATATATCTAATATTAGTATCAGTAGGCCAAATTCTGCTTCACTCATTGACTTCAATGAGCCATGAATGTGAGTGCCAAAATTGTCTTCTTGTGTTCACTATAATGCTAATCCTTTAATTTTATCAGTGGTGAGAGATTCATCACCAACAAAGTGATATGTGCCTTACAAATACCTAATATAAATAGAATGGATTACATCCAGGGACCTCATTTCAGAAGAACTCACGGCTGAGAAAAGTTTTATCTGCCTACAGAATATTATATATGATTATATTATATCCTGAAAAATCATTGGGGAGGGCTCAAGGGAAGTATATAGATGTATGAAAGGTCGGGGGAGCAAGCACCAGTCTGGCTGGAGGACAACTGCCCACGTTGCTCCATAGCAAATGAGGCCCCTAATTTAATTGACAGATAATCAGTCCAAGTGCGTCTATACTGTATCAGAAATGCAAAATAAGCTACGCAATTTGAGTTATACAAATTGCGTAGTTTATTTTGAGTTCAAAGTCAATCCCTTTAATTTGTTATTGAGAAGCTATAGCTGAATTGCATTGCATCTGACAACCAGAAAAGATTTTAGCAACATGCTGCCCTGATTATTATCTATTCCTTTACCTTGGAGGGCTGAAGCTGCGGTGCAACAGCCCGGCTTTCCAGCTGTCTGGGAGGGCTGGGGCTATGGTGTGGCAGCCCAGGCCTCTGGCTGCCCAGGAAGGATTGGGCTGTGGCATGGCTGTTCGGTATCTCCAGACACCAGGCACTCTGGCTACCTAGGAAGGGTGGAGTCATACCAGCCGCTGGGAGAGGGGACACTAAGGGGACTGGAGATTTTCAGGGCTGGGGTTCGGATGAGCTTGGCTCCACAATCGGGGGGGAGGAGTTTGAATGGAAGGGGCAGGGCTTCAGACAGAAGGGGCAGGTTTCAGGAAGAAGGGGCAGGACTGGGACTTGCCTTCTCCAGCTGGGCCTTCACCCACTGCCCATGTCTCTCAAGAAAAAAACAAAATTAGACAAAAATAAAACTGCCCTCAAGAGACTAGACCATTTGTATGATGCAAGCAGAGTATACAAGTTTTAATATCTAAACCAGTTTTTGCTTTAGCTAACTTTTAAATCAGCCTACAGAATATTATATATGATTATATTATATCCTGAAAAATCATTGGGGAGGGCTCAAGGGAAGTATATAGATGTATGAAAGGTCGGGGGAGCAAGCACCAGTCTGGCTGGAGGACAACTGCCCACGTTGCTCCATAGCAAATGAGGCCCCTAATTTAATTGACAGATAATCAGTCCAAGTGCGTCTATACTGTATCAGAAATGCAAAATAAGCTACGCAATTTGAGTTATACAAATTGCGTAGTTTATTTTGAGTTAATTTCAAATAGCTTATTTTGAAATTTGGTACCGTCTACACAGCACTTATTTCAAAATAAACCTCTATTATGAAATGTCCCTTACTCCGCATGAAATGAGGTTTACAGGGATGTCAGAATAGTGATTCTGTTATATTTCAAAATAATGTATGCGCTCAAAAGATGTGGAATAGCTATTTTGGAATGCCTCTGGTGTCCCGAAATAGCACTGCAGTGTAGATGTAACCTCAGTAATCAGGTCATTTTCACTTACTTGGATTCTAGAAGCTGAAGAATTTCTGGTGCCTTAAGAAGTCCTTCCGTTGTCAGAAACACATACGGAATCTGCACCTCCAGAAGAACGCACCCAAAATTTTCACCTGAAACATTTTCTAAAGATAAATAACAACTTTACAAAACAGTCTGTCTAAGATATGATAGTTTCAGGCATTCAAATGGTATATATATATCTCCACTAAAAATACTTTTCCGTTAAATGTTGTTCTAGTGTGAAGAGTTTCAGATTCTAGAAAGCCCATTGAGTTTTGTCTTGTATTCCCCTAGCATTGCAGCAACCCTCCATCTGCATACGGAATACTGGGCATAGCCTCTATCAATGCTGAACTACCTGGCACAGTGAAAGGGCTTTTCTCAGGAGCTCAGTGCAATAATTTTTGCCAGGATTGGGCTCAGGTCCTAAAACTTCTTCCTATCTTACTCCTGTTAGGTACATATGTCGAGAGAGTATCTGGACCAATATGCTTAGCCTTAACCCTTATTATTTATTTCTCTCTTTAGTGGGCACATTTTACACATAAACATTTTAGAGAATACAAAATCCACTTTTTAGGCACAAGAATCATCTTTTATTTGAGTTCTTACTTACCCATTACAAGTGTTTCTGGGACAGTGGTTTTAAAAGTTATGTAGGTAATATTCAAATTTTTGCACAGCTCATTCCAGCAGGAGTTCTCTGTGCAGTCATACTCTATCACTAATGAGAAATGTGTCCAAGGAAAGTCAGCTCCAATGTGTTGATTATGTACAATAACACAGGAATATCTACTCAGACTGAAAGAGAAATATCAGAAAATGATCTTTTAGCATGATTACTCCCAGCACAAAATAAAAACTTTGTACAGAGTGTATCAGTTGTTTAAAGAACAATGTAAAAACAGGCTTTATCCTTTCAATATTAGAAATTTTAAATTATTTTTATGAAATACTTCACCATCTCTAGTTATTTGCATTAGGTCTTCATATTTCCTGCTGTCACCTTTCATTTCAAGCATAGGTTTACAAGTTAGGAGAGTCTCTACATCCCCAGTGGGAAAGGGGGGCAGATCTTGTAAATTAGCTTTTCATGTTGCATTATCAGTACTATGACAATGCTCATCTATATCTCCTTTTTGCCCTGGAAATTCTTCATATCATTGATTGCACTAGGAGTACTTATGAGCTTATAGTTACTACTTAACTACTATGCTGAATTGCTGATCTAAATTGGGCCAGAATGTTCTCTTTGCAGAATGAAACACAGGAGTTTCTCTGAAGTTACTTTTGATAGGGACTGTAAGATTTGGGATAGAAAAATTATGAATTGCACTCACCTGCTTAAGACGTTGTGTTCTAACAAAACTCCTCTGTTCTCAGGATTCAAAACCATGGATTTTAAACCTGTTTAAAAATAATTAAATGATCAGTTCAAGAGACTGGACCAGATCTTCTGCTGGTGTACATTGCTATATAATGCTAAACAGAAAACATGGACCAGATCAAGAAATTATAACCCCACGGGTACAGCCTGGATAACAGTGCCCTATCTGAAGCAGCTAAAACAAAATACAGGACTATGTAGCACTTTAAAGACTAACAAGATGATTTATCTTTAAAGTGCTACATACATAGTCCTGTATTTTGTTTTAGCTACACCAGACTAACACGGCTACATTTCTATCACTATTCTACATGCAAGGCACTACATTTAGCCGTTTGGAATGGAAATCCATCAACCATATGAAGAAACTTGCACAGATACAGACAGACATCATCTTTCTATCCAAGTGCAAGAAGATGGACATCGTACCCAAAATCATCTAATAAACCTTCTTCTTAGTCTTTAAAGTGCTACACAGTCCTGTATTTTGTTCCATCTGAAGCAGTCATCAATAATCTTGAGTTTCACTGGGCTGACGAGCAGAGATCCATGCTAAAAGTCTTATATATTTGGGCCCAGGCAGGGGTGGATTCCTGGTAGGACAGGAGCAGTCACATTAAATTATGTTTCCGTTTAACTTAAAATGAGTAAGAAAAAACTACTGGAAAAATAGTGGGTTTTTCCTTTGGCCTTTTAGAAAATTTTATATATGACAGGAAATAAGACAGAAAGAGATGTAGCCAAAAGGTTGCACACGATGTATGTATTTTGTGTAATATAAATGTCCTCAGAAGGTAAATCAGTCAGATTGAGCTATGTTTCTAAACTTAATTTAATGTACATATATTTGACAGTTTATACATCAATCTGTTATGTGTCTATCCATCTGTTAGTCTTTTGTTCAAGAACTCCTCCTAAACAGTAAGAGCTAGGACTATCACATTTGGTATGCAGCTTCCTCTCATCCTAACTTAAAAGCAAGGTAAGGATTTGGTTGTGCCAGGACAATGGGATGTATGTTGAATGCAATTGTTTTGCATCAAACAGAAAGGGAGGAGTGCGATAGCAGGGACAGTTATACTCACAAATGACTGCAAAGGGGTACCAAGGATACCAGACCCGGGGCACAGCTGCTGGCTGGAAGCACAGGCTGCACTGGGGAGCTGCTGTT